TGGCCACATGCACAGCGTGTGTTGGCCACTCACAACATGGCCACATGTACAGTGTGGCCACATGCACAGCGTGTGTTGGCTACTCACAGCATGGCCACATGCATAGCATGACCACATGCACAGCGTGTGTTGGCCACTCACAGCGTGGCCACATGCACAGCATGACCACGTGCACAGCGTGTGTTGGCCACTCACAGCATGGCCACGTGCACAGCATGGCCACGTGCACAGCGTGTGTTGGCTACTCGTTCACAGCATGGCCACATGCACAGCATGGCCACATGCACAGCATGGCCACATGCACAGCATGTGTTGGCCACTCAAAGCATGACCACATGCACAGCGTGTGTTGGCCACTCACAGCATGGCCACGTGCACAGCGTGTGTTGGCCACTCACAGCATGGCCACGTGCACAGCATATGTTGGCCACTCACAGCATGACCACATGCACAGCGTGGCCACGTGCACAGCATGTGTTAGTCAGGAGTTCTGCCACTCCTGGTGCGTCGATTGTGTAATTTGTCATCGTAGTATTAGTCACCCTTAACTTTTTCACTTTGTCATTAAATAATGTTATGGAGAACATATTCACACATATAATGTTCTCATATATCGCTGATAGCTTTCTCGATGTTGATTCCCAGAGTGGAATTGCCGGGACCACAAAAGGCATTAATAGCTACTGCTGAATTGGCTTTTGGAAGATTGTAACAAGTCTCAGTCTCACATAAAAACATCCCTTATCCTCACATTTTTGGTAGCAGTGAATAATATCATTCATTTAACACATTCCACCTGGCTCGAACCACCAGGGACACATGTGTGACATTCCCTTCGGGTGGCTGGCACCACTGGTTGTGCAGACACATGCATGGGACAGTCATAGGAGACATGAACCATGGCCCTGTCATGACTGTCAATAACTGCTGACTGACATATGTAGTCCCTGCTGATGGGATTTTAGGGTGTGCATTTTTGCAGGGTGTCTTCGCAGATTAACTCTGTATTTCTTTTCTTGTTTCCTGGTAGATTAGCAGTGTTTCTGCTCTGGTGGACTCTTCAGAAAACCATTTGTCATATATTTTGCAAATTCTTGTAGCCTACCTGCAGCTTTAGCATGGTGTGGCTTTTTTTGTTGTTTTTGCTAAACATGTGTTGGTGTCATATACGTAACGTCATCTGTTCATCTGTCCAGAGGTTAAATTTCATCTAACCATCTTGGTGTGCTTATGACGTCTATTCTCCTCCTCTTCTTCTTCATCTTTTATTCATTTATTTGGCACAGGTTCTTGCTACAACTTAGACACATAGTGATCCTCCTGTCTCCGCCTCCCCAGCACTGGTATTACAGGCATGCACCACCACGCCCGGACTGGGTGGCCAACAGGGTGCCCAGGACCGACGTAGCATGTGGTGCCAGGGATTGAACCTGGCTCCCTCCTTGCGCTTGCCAGACAGCTACCTAAGTACCTGCTGAACTATCTCTCCAGCCCCTGTGGTGTCTGTTCTTACATTATACTTTGAAATCAATATAATGATTTTGGAGCCTAGTTTGAGTAGGGACATATCTTTATTTTATTTTTTTAAAATTTATTTATTTGTGTGTGTGTGTGTGTGTGTGTGTGTGTGGCCAGCTCAGCCCATCAGGGGGCAGGGCTGGCTGGTATATGGTGCTGGGGGATTGAACCGCGGTCCCTGTGCTTTGCCAAGCTTGTTCTAAGTAGGTGCTTTAAGACCACTGAGCCATCTCGCCAGCCCCTCTTTATTTTTGAAGTAACAAACCAATTAGTCTCCTTTTTTTTTGCAGAACCGGGGATTGAACTCAGGCCGTTGCGCTTGCCAGGGAAGCGCTTATTCCACTGAGCCATCTCCCCGGCCCCTTAGTCTCTTTGTCAGTTGACTGATCATCTTAGATTTCAACATTGCCGTATGCCACACATTGTATATGTGCTCTTATGCACGTGTGTGTGACTGCCTAAAATAGCACCCCAGCAGTTCCAGGAGTCCTGGAGTGTTCCTAACACCTATTACTTCAGTGTTTCTAGAAAAACACTGCAGTAGATACATAAACTTCTATGTGAAATATCATCCAGTGCTTGCCTGTTATCCTAATTCCTGGGAATCCGAAGACCTCCAACATACTTGTCTCATCAGAGCGTTTTTATTACCAGCCAGTTTTCTGTCCATACCCAGCCCACCCAAGGGAAGCTCAGGCGGTGCTGAATAGGAGTCAAAATGATTCTGGGCACTGGGGACATAGCTCAGTAGGATAAGCACTTGCCTGACAATCACAGCGTCCTGAGTTTAATCCCCAGTACCACAAAAAAGAAAAAAAACCATGATTCCAAAGAAGAGCATCCTTGGAGATAGCAGAGCTGCTTGCTTTGTAGTGGGGAGAAATAGTTGGCCCTGAAAAACAAGGCGTAACAGCATTTGAAGTTAGAGAAGCACTAGCCTGCTAAGCCAGGCATCCAGACACTGTTCCGTGTTCATCGAAACAGTGAAGCTCCACGGCGCCTGCGAGCTGTGCCGCGCAGCTGGAGCAGCCCCCTCTGCATGCTGTGCTGTCTCCAGCCACGTGGCCGGTCAAGGCGACGCGCCTCTGTGAGCTTCCCCAGACAGGGAAGGGCCTTGCAATGCTGCAGGATAGTGCGAGAGGAGCATTCTGCTGGGTGAGCCGCTGAAGCAGGCAGAACGGACGAGGGCGTGGGCAGGGAGCGTGGTTACCAGCATGCTTACGAAGTTGAGGGTGGGTCGCACCTGGCGGGGTAGGCTGCAGCCCCCTGCATGATGGTGCCTCGCCTTTTCAGCGTCCTTCTCCTGCTGCATGTGTGCTTTCTGTGGTGCGTCTGTACATCATCACTGGCTCCGGTGCTCTAGGGAAGCTTCAGGGAGTGAAGCCATGCTGTGTCCCAGCCATGCTGTGTCCCAGGCCTTCTCCAAGAAATGCACAATGTGGTCTAGCGTAAAAGGCCAAGAAGTCCTGCTGCAAAGGAGCCGCTAGGTCTGGCGGGCCTGTTTTGGGCCTCGCTCAGACCTGTGCTCACGCAAGAGCTGCTGTGAGCTGCTGCCACAATTGCTAAGCATGCGGCTTCAGTAAATGTGTTGTCATGAACGGGAAGTTGGTTTGCACATGGTACTTCTACTTGTGCTAACAATACAGAGTTTTAAGAAAACACTGGAAAGAGACCCTTAATTTTACACGATCCTACTGCTCATGGAGTTTTCAGAACAGCAGCAGAGAAAAACGTCATTTTGTCCTGTGAATCCTAAGACTTTGGTTTGGAATCATAGGGCAGAAAAAAGCAGAGAACGTTTCCCAGCTTTTCTAGACCTCTGTGGAAATGCTATATGCATTGTTTCTGCGAAGGACAATTTGATATTGCCCACACTTCACAGCCAGTGTGTGTTTTTGTTCATGACAGTGTCAGCAGTGGTTGGCTTGGCGCACAGCACACTGCGTATATCAGCAGCGGTCTTTTGTGTTTGTTCCTCATAAAATGCGCATTGGCTTCGCGGTTGTGGGAGGAAGGCTCGGAGGAAGGTGAAGGTGTTTCTCTGTCCCTGTAGGATGGGCGCTGCGGACAATATCTACCAAGGGCGGAGCACCTTTATGGAGGAGCTGACGGACACCGCCGAGATCATCCGGAAGGCGAGCCCGCGGTCCTTAGTGGTCCTGGATGAGCTGGGGCGAGGGACGAGCACGCACGACGGCATCGCCATCGCCTACGCCACCCTGGAGTACTTCATCAGAGACGTGAGTGTCCACAGGCCTTCTCTGAAGTGCTTTTTCTAACATGTCTAATTGGCACATCACAGTTGTGTACCTTTGTGGGGTACAGCATCACGTTCAGGTAGCTGTGAACAGGGGAATGACACAGTCCAGCTAACTCACGTCCTCTACCACACGTGTTTTAAGGGGAGACCTTTGAAATTCAGCGTCAGTTATTAGAAAATGCCCAGTCCTTCATCTCCGGCCGTGGTCAGAGCCCCACTCGCAGCTCCTGCGTGCCCCTCTCGCCGGGGTTGCACACCCGCGTCACATGTGTTCCGACTGCGGGCCCCCGCCGCTCTCCCAGCCTCCTTTGTTCTCAGGTCACGGCTCGTCAGGTCAGCTGCCTGGGCTCCCGGGCTGCTCAAGCAGCTCTGGTGCAGTCAGTCCAGTGTCCCTTCTGTCACAGAAGCACTGGACACTGAAGGGTGTGGGCGCCTTGGGAACAGAGCCCAGGCCACAGTGAGCCCCAGGCTGCCGAGACACGGTCTGCGCCCGCGCCCATTTCTGTCTCGCCAGCTCTGCTCTCCCCCCTTCCTCTGGAGCGACTTTCCCAGCCACCGGCTGTGTCGGCGCGTCCTGTCCTGGCTGGCTCGCTGCCCTCCTGTTCCCGCCTGTGCGTCTCAGCCAGCACTCCTACCCCAGCTGCCCTGCGCCTGGTCGCTTCACTGTTCTTTTTCTGTCCTCTGTACTTATTCCTGCCTTGTCTCTGTGTCCTCCCCATATTTTCAGTTTTCCTCTATTCCTTAAATAGCCAATAAAAAGTTTTCTTGCTCATATTTCTTTCCCCAACCCTCCACAAAATTCCTTTTGATTTTAGCCCCTCAGTGCCTTTGGTATTGTTTTGCTTTCTTCCTTGTTTTACTTTTTCTCTGGCCCTTGGCTCTCTGTTCCTTGGTGCTTTATGGGAGCCCAGGGCCATCACGCCTGGGTGACTCTGGGTGCTTCTCAGAAATAGTCCCTGCCACCTGCAGTGACACTGGTGTGGTACACCACGTACATGACAGTCAGTCCCTGAGAGCACGGGACCACCACAGTGTGGTCTCATCAGCTCAAGTGAGTATGCTCAGAACTGTCACCTGCCACACACTTCTCAGACTATCCTCAACCACGGACCATGCGTGACCCAAGTGTCAGGTGCAGCCCATGGGGAACACAAACCACCCACTCACCTGGGGAGTGTCCCTGACAGCCTGACCTGCTGCATTATGTAATGACTTTGCTGGCCTGTCCCTGGCATGTGTCCCGTCACCTGGTCACCACCTGTAGGGCGGGCGCTGCGCCTTCTTTGCTTTAGTGACTTGAAGCAAACACAGGGTAGCCAGTGAGATAGCTTGCAGTGTAAGTGCCTGCCTGCTAAGCACAAGGTCCTCAGTTCAATCCCTGGAACCAAAAAGAACCAGCCATAGATTAGGTTGTGTAGAAGAACTGCGACCTGGTTTCTCCTGTGAAATAAATCTTTGCTATTCCCCTTTTTAAAAATACTGTTCCCCGGGCCTGCAGTGCCAGCCCCACTCTCCAGGGTGCACTGGGTGTGGTGGCATGCGCCTGTAATCCCAGCGCTTGGGAGGCTATAAACAGGAGAATCACTGTGAGTCCGATCCAGTAGTGAGACCCTGAACACCCTGTAGGACCTTCCCTAAAATATAAAATATTAAAAAAAAAAACTCAAAACTTTATTTGCATACATAGTTGGAGAACTTTTTAATCACTGTAGAAACTGCTTCCTGTGGAGATGTCAGCCAAGCCCGTGCGTGGCCCCAGCACTCATGGGTGTGATGTCGCCGTCTGTGCCGCGGAAGGCCAGCCAGCTGTGATGCACACCTGGAGCCTGGTCCAGGCAGCGTAGCTGCTCCGCAAGGCGCTTCTCCAGTTTAAAAGGGCGGGAGGTAGCTCAGGGCAGGTGCTGGGCCCAGCCCACTGCCACGCACACCATGTCCCAGCATGTCACTCACTGGGGCTGTGTGGCAAGTGCCCAGAGCTGCCTGACAGAACACCACAGACGTCCCTGTTGCCCATCTCGGCGCGCCTGGTCTTGCCTGGGCCCCTGTGGCCCCGAAGGCTTCACAGGGCTTCCCTTCCCACCTCTGCGTCTGCAGGAGGCCACGCCCCAGCTCCTCAGTGGGGACAGTCCTTACAGCGGCCTCAGGCTGCCCCTGGCCACCTGTGATATCCCAGAAATTCATTGCAGCACCTTTTGGCACAATGACAACAGAGTTGAGTGTGTTGCTTCTGTTTTTATTGCCTGTGCTCTAAAGCAGGGTTTTTTTTTTTTTTTTAATTTTAATCTAACACGTTTAATAAATATAGTTAAATATGACATTGGCTCAAGAATGATTCTTTTCTTTTCTTTTTTTTTTTTTTTTTGTGGGACCGGGGATTGAACTCAGGCCGTTGAGCTTGCTAGGGAAGCGCTTATTCTACTGAGCTATCTCCCCAGCCCCTCAAAAATGATTCTAAAGCAGGTTTTGGATATTGTAAATGTTTCGGAAGGAATGTGACTTTCACATGAGATTTTCCCTGGGGCAAACTGTGAAGAGGTCCCTGTCAGGAGGACCTACTTTAAAACACGCAAGTTTGTTTTCTAAGGTCACTTAAGTCCATTCATGGGGTCAATTTCTTGCGCTCTTCATTATGATTCATTAGCCTATGAGCCTCAGGTTTTCTTTTTAACCAGTATTATACTGTTTTATTTTTGGCCTGGTGGTACAGGGGACTGAACCCAGGACTTGCACGCTGAGCTGCATCTTCTGTTTCATTTTAGTTTTATTTTGAAATAGAGTCTTCCTAAATCACCAGGCTGATTGGGCCTGGACTTGGGGTCTTCCTGCCTCAGCCTCCCAGAGTTCACCCCAGCCCCACTGTCACCCCAGTGACTGGGATCAGGGTACTGACGGTCCTCCCGCTTTGTTCTCCAGTGTCAGGCTGGCTCTTCCTGGTTCTTTTGCCCTCCGTATAGACTTTAGATCAGTTTGCAGATACCACCGTCGCTTGCTGGCCTTACATACGGTGTCGTGTTGAAACTCTAGATCAAGGTGGGAGGAGCCGCCTGGCGCTCTAGAGCCTTCTAGAGTCTTCCTGTCCCTAGCATGGTTCCCGCCCTTCTTCCTCAAGACTCTCTTCAGAAGTGCATAGCTCTGTTGTGTAAGTCTTAAACGTCTTCTGTTAGATTTATGCCTAACCGAGCATTTCATCTGATGTGCTACAGCAGTTGGTACTGCGTTTTCATTCCACATTCTCCATCTCCATGGCTGGCATATACAAAAGCAATGACTCCCTGTATTGATCTTGAATCCTGCAACTTGCTGTGGTCACTTGCAATGTCACTGTCACAAAAGACGGGAAGGAAAGCAAAGCAGCATTACCAGGACAGCCAGGGACCTGGACGGCCTAAGCTGGGGTAGTGACAAGCCTCTCGGCTGTGATGAGCTCACTCTAGTTATGTAGGCGACTGTTTCTGTTCTTGGAAGAGAATCTCCAGTGCCTAGGGACAGTCTGCCACTGGTTCTCTGGCAGGTCAGGAAAGGGGAGTGTGTGTGTGTGTGTGTGTGTGTGTGCGTGCGCGCGTGTGCACGCGCGCCCATCCGTGTGCGAGCTGGAGGAAAGGAGTGAGAGTATGACAAGATGTTAGCCACTCTTTGTTTTCTGGGTAAAGAGTATGTGACGCTCACCACTTGTCTCTTTTTTTTCTTGGTTATAGATGATCCAAAAAGCCGAAATGTTTCTTTTAGGAAGGTCTCAGCTGAGCGTCGTCTCTGCCCCCACCCTCCAAACACTGAGGTTTTAACTGAGCAGCTACAAATACAATTGCACTTTCTCTGTCTGTGGTTTCAGGTGCAGTCCTTGACCCTGTTCGTCACCCACTACCCGCCTGTGTGCGAGCTGGAAAGGAGCTACCCGGGCCAGGTGGGGAATCACCACATGGGCTTCCTGGTGAGCGAAGACGAGGGCCAGGCGGACCCAGGTGGGTTGGCCCCGGGGCTCTGTCTGTGTTGTGTCAGGCCACGGGCTGGTGGGGCTGAGCTCCCTGCGCCGTGCAGGCTGTGCTGCCAGCCCTGCGTCATGGTTCGCACTGCCCTTCCACCCCGTCTGGAGCACTGTGCTGCCCTCATCACTGTCCCTGAGTCCCTGCTGACTCCTTCCGTCTGGCATGGAGCCCTGCCCTGCGCCTGTCTTTCTAAGACGCCTGTGCCCCCTGCTCTCTTGGGTGACTCATCCCAGGAAAGCCCGACAGTTGGCAGGGGAGTCATCTGATTGCTTCTTGCACTGTGTCTTAACAGACGTGGGCTTCAGCTTTAACTGAGAGGCTGCTGGCTGCCGCGGCAGCTGCGTGCTGGGGCTGGACTGAGCTCAGGGCCCAGCTGTCTGCTTCCAGGGCTCTGGCCCTGCCGCGGGAGCTGCAGTACCGCAACCTTGCCTGTTGCTGCTGCGTGCGGCCCTTAGTAGCCCTGGGGAAGGCAGCGCTGGGTCTCGTGCTGTGCTTGCTCAGGAGCAGGGAGCTCTGCTGTGGCAGAGTGCCCCCTAAAAGCGCCTCCTCCAGGGTGCCAGTGCCACATGTGGTTCTGCAAAGGTGATGAGGACTGACCAAAGGGGCCATCTGGCAGCTGGCCCTGTTCAGCAAAGTCCTGGGCCGAACATGAGGGCAGCGTGGGCCCATTAGAGACACAGCTCAGCTTCCTGGACGGAGGTGCCAGTGTGGGATCCATCCAGGGGCAGCGGTCACTGCAAGCTGCAGCCCAGACAGCACGCAGCGCGGCCTTCGTGTGGGGAGGGCTGCTCCTCTCCCCTCCCTTGGTGCCCGTCGTTGGCCCCAAGCCTGGTGTGTGACCACGGCTTCCCACCCATTAGCGGGGACCCAGCCGCCCAAGGCCCCCAGGTGTCTGCTTCCTTCCCCACGCTGCCCCTTCTGCTGCCGTGGCAGGAGGGCTGAGTGCGGCCGTGCCCAGCACGGACAAGTGCGCTTTCCTGCCCTTCCCCTTCCCTGCTGTCTCTTTGGAATAGGAAGCCCAGTGCTTATACTGCGCTGTGTTCTTCTGCGAATCTGCAGGTGGCCCTTCCCTGCCTCCAGGGCACTGCAGACCCTCCAGTCCCCTCCCCACAGCCTAGCCTTTCCCTGCACCCCGCTGTCTGGGCTGCAGGGCCTCAGCGCCATCCTTTGTGTCACCTGCCGTCTGTGAGTGTGAGTGCAGGCAGGAACTGTGTGGGCTCGCCGGGACTCAGTGTGACGCTGATGCCAGAGGCCCCCTCCCCCCGAGTGCAGCCGGGCGACACCAATACTGATGCCTGCTGGGGTTTTGCCAGGTTACTGGTGGCCTAAACACAGCGCTGAGCTGGACACCACAGAGCTGGATCACTGCAGCAGGAACAGGAGATTTATCTGAAAGACAAAGGAGATCTGTGCCCTTAGGCTAGCCTGGGAAAGAGCTCTGGCCCGAGGTAGCTGGGCTTGAGGGTCTGAGCCTGACTGGGTCACCCACACCTGGCAGGGAAGCTCTGACTTTTGTGGCTTGGGAGGGACCAAGGCCACACACTGTGGACGGGCCAGAGCACAGGCACACCACAGACATGGACGCCACAGACAAGGACGCCACAGACACGGACGCCACAGACACGGACGCCACAGACA